TCCAGCACTCAACTCGCAGATGTGTCTGCAATGGGCAAGGAATAAGCTGTATTCAGACAGAAAACCACAGTTCTACTCTCGTCTCCTTCAGCTTATAACTTCCAGGGTTCAGAGCATTCATGGTTCATAAAAGATCTATTTTTGAGACTCCCAAGATAAGATAGTTAGGTCAAAAAAAGTGGGAGTGAATACAGCAAACTTCACAGCAGTCCCAGGCTCTTTCCCCCTAATTTGTTTACTTCTTATCGGTATCTAGCCTTATTTTGAGAAAGAATTCGCTGTTGAATAGGGGAAATTTGACACAGAACAGACAGTGCTGCTAGGCAGGATGTTCCCAAGTCATCATCCGCCTTTGCAACTTTAATGGGACTCGGCAGCACATTTTGGATCCCACAGCACTCTGCAGATCAGACACCACTGTGCAGATCCCACAGCGCACTGCAGACTCCACATCATACCACAGACCCCAACACCACAGTGCAGATTGTATCACACACTGCAGACCCCACTGCACACTGCAGACCCCACTGCACACTGCAGACCCCACTGCACACTGCAGACCCCACAGCATACTGCAGACCCCACTGCACACCGCAGACTCCATACTATACCGCAGACCCCAACACCACAGTACAGATTGTATCACACACTGCAGACACCACAGTGTACTGCTGACCCCACTGCACATTGCAGACCCCACCTCCTTCTGCAGACCCCATACCATACTGCAGACCCCAACACCACAGCGCAGAATGTATCACTCACTGCAGGCCCTACTACACACTGTAGACCCCACAGTATGCTCCAGAACCTACAGCACACTGCAGATCCCACTGCACATCACAGGCCCCACAGCACACTGCAGAATCCACTGCATACTACAGACCCCACCACATTCTGCAGACCCCATACCATACTGTAGACCCCAACACCACAGCACAGAATATCTGCATACCCTACTATACACTGTAGACTGCACAGTATACTTCAGACCCCACATCACACTGCAGGCCCCCCAGTACACTGTAGGCCCCACAGTACATTGCAGACCTCACAGCATACTTCAGACTCTACAACAGGCTTCACATCACACTGCAGACCCCACATCACACTGCAGACCCCACATCACACTGCAGACCTCACAGCACACTGCAGACCCCACATCACACTGCAGACCCCACACTGCAGACTCTACAACAGGCTTCACAGCACACTGCAGACCTCACAGTACACAGCAGACCCCACACTGTAGACTCTACAACAGGCTTCACAGCACACTGCAGACCCCACATCACACTGCAGACCCCACGTCACACTGCAGACCCCACATCACACTGCTAACCTCACAGTACACTGCAGACCCTACAACAGGCTTCACAGCTCATTGTAGCTTTGACTCCACATCACACTACAGAGCCCACTCTCCCAATGTTGGATGTCCCTAAAGGTCCCAACCTGCCTCAGACCTTCTTGTCCAGTTACTAAGGTCTTTGTAGTAACTGTCATATAGCCCAGTGACTCCTCCTAGCCAATCCTTGGTTCCTGTCCATAGCCCACTGGAACTAATCACCAAACCCTCCCCAATAAACTTTGTACCCACCAGTCTCTATCTCAGGGCTGCTTTCTAAGGTGTTGCACTACAGGTGGATGACGATTTGGGGATAGTGATGGCTGTCAGATAATGCCCTCAAACCAGAGGTATTCAATGAAGGGCTCTTTCCTTTCAGCTCTCCTAGTAGTTTTTTGGTGTTTGGTATTTATTTTTTCAGCAACTCTACCCCTAAACTCTCTAGGATCTAGGTGCTTGTCTTAGTTACAGTTTCAATTACTGTGATGAAACACCATGACCAAAAGCAAATTGTCAAATTGTGTGTGTGTGTGTTGGGCGGGGGGGGGGGGGGGGGATTTGGTTTATTCTTCCATATCACTGTTCATCATTGAAGAAGTCAGGACAGGAACTCAAACAGGGCAGGAACCTGGAGGCAGAAACTGGAGGGCAGAACTTGGTACAGAGGCCATGAAGGAATGCTGCTTACTTTCCTGCTCCTCGTGGCTTGTTCCTGCCTCTGCCTCCTGAGTGCTGGGGTTAAAGGGGTGCACCACCACCTCCCAGGGTAGCCTGCTTTCTTATAAAACCCATGACCACAAGCCCAGGGATGGCACCACTCACAGTGAGCTGGACCCTCCCCCATCAATCACTGATTAAGAAAATGCCCTACAGGCCTGCATACAGCCAGAATTTATAGAGACATTTTCTCAGTTGTGGTCCCTTCCTCTCAGATGACTCCTGTGTCAAGGCGACATAAAAGTAGCCAGCACAGATTACCACATGCATTTTTTGGAAACTTAATCCTTAGGAATTTATAAATGTTATCCATTCTATTAGTGAGGCTTTCCACTGAGGCTTTTATTTGGCTTACTGAGTTTTTCATTTCCAACATCACTTCAGTTTGGCTTTTCTTTAATAATTCCCTTTATTGAATTCTATTTTCATATATTGGATTGACTTCCTTATTTCATCCAGCTCTTTGTTTTTGTTCTCTTGTAGTATATTCATATCTTCTTGAGTTGTTTAGCTATAATTACATTCTTTTGAGGTCTTTGTCTGGAAGTTCTCTCAGGTCTTTCTCACTGGGGGCCATTACTGCAGGATTGGTCATCTTCGAAAGACACATGTTGTCTTGTTACAAGCTAATTAAAAACAGACTGCTTTTTACAACGAGAGTTTGAAGAGAGTTACCCACATGGGTGGACATGGGTTATTAAATGAAAATCTCAGTGCCAAATACCTCTTACCTCCCTGTGAGGCCTTGGTCTGGGATGCTCCAGAGGCACTGAAAAATCACACACTTTTTCTTCAGGACATAAAGAAATCAACCTGGAGCCGAGCAAGAAACTCTCACTGCTGGCTAGTACCATAGGCTTCTGAGAAGAAAAGCCATCAGTGGTCTTAACTCAGCACTGGTCCCCCCATGCTATAATACTGACATGCCAGGCAAGATGTGCCCACTGGTTCAACAGTGGAATGAACATTCTGGGGGTAACCAACTACTTTCTGATTGGATTTGAGGCCTGCTCCACAGCAGGGAATTCATGCCTGGTACTATAAACTAAGGGGGTCATGGGCCGTAGCACAGAACCTAAAGCTTTTGTTTGGTTAATGGTTATCAGATTGCCTTCTGATTATTTCTTTGTTAATGCCCCAAATTTTGTGTGGCTCTGTCATAGTCACTCTTCTATTGCTGTGGTGAAACACCATGACCAAGGTAACTCTTATAAAAAATAGGGGCTTGCTCACACTTTCAGAGCGATAGTCCTTTATCATCATGGCAGATAGCATGGCAGCATGCAGAACAGCATGGCAGCATGCAGAACAGCATGGCAGCATGCAGAAAGGTGCCAGAGCAGCAGTTGCAAGCTTTACATCCTGATCTTCAGGCAGGGAGAGAAAGACTCTGGGCCTGGCATGGGCATTTGAAGCCTCAAAGCCCATTCCCCAGTCACACACTTCCTCCAACAAGACCACACCGATTCCAGCAAGGCCACACCTCCTATTCCTTGTAATCCTTCCCACCAGTTCCTGTGGTGATATTTTATCTGTGTTGCCCAACAAAATTTATCTAAGGATCAGACAAAAAAGCTAGCCCCTATATTAAACATAGAGGTCAGGTAATGGTAGCACATGCCTTTGATCCTATTACTCAGGAGGCAGGGATCTGTCTGGATCTCTGTGAGTTCAAGGCCACACTGGGAACAGAGCCAGGTGTGGTGGCACATGCCTTAAATTCCAACACTAGTTAACTATGGAGGTCTGGAGGTCTATACAGACAGACAGGAAGTGACAGAGCTGGGCAGGAAGAAGTGATGTAGCTGGACAGACAGAGTAAATGAGATAGCAGAACAGAAATGCATATAGGTGGGGTATACAGGAAGTAGGTCTCTTTGGAGACTGAGGTGTCGATAAGAGGAGGTTAGCTTGTGGCTTTTCCTGTTCCTCTGATCTCTCAGGTTTTCACCCCTATTCCTGGCTCTGGGTTTTTATTAATAAGACCTTATAAGATTCACATTACAAGTTCCACTCCCCAGTAACTAACCTTTCAAATATATGAGCTTATAAGGGGAGGTGTTCTTATTCAAATCAACAGAGGCTTATAACCTAGATCAGGGAAACTTTATTGCAGTAGATAGTGGTTAATACAGAAACCCCTAACTTGGAAGCACTGTTCCAACATCAGAGCAGCATGGTACTCTATACTATCTTGATATCAGGTGAAATCCTCAAATGGTCAAAGTGCACATTCCTATCCCCACTTCTACAGGGGACTCATAATCAAACAACCCTCTATATCATGAACATGAGGCTCAGTTCTTGCTTAACTTAGAGTAGCCAGGTCTAGTTCCCTGTCAACTCAATAAAATTGTTCAGCAATCTAATCACTTTTTTCAGTAGGAACCAAGGGACATCTGCTGTGGATATCGCTCTGTATAAATAAAACACTGATTGGTCAGTAGCCAGACAGGAAGTATAGGCGGGACTAACAGAGAGGAGAATTGAGGGAACAAGAAGGCAGAGGGAGAGACTGCCTGGAGCCACCAGGACAAGGAAGATGCAAGCCACAAGCCACGTGGCAAAGTATAGATTAACAAAAATGGGTTAAATATAAGAGTAAGAGCTAGACAATAATAGGCCTGAGCTGTAATGTAAGAGCCTGTGTGTTTATTTTATAAGTGGGCTCCAGGACTGGCAGGACTTGGTGGGAGCCAGAGAGAAACTCTCCAGCTACAGACATCCCACCCTCTAAATCCTACAGAGCCTACTGCCCACAGCCCTAGGTTTTCTGATCTGTTCCTGGGCACAACTCCTGTGTGACTCTGTGCCACATTGTCTTCTTCCCCAGAGCTGTGAATATCTGTTACTTGAAAATGTCCTCACACATCTGTCCACACACAGACATCATGGGTTCATACATCCCCATAATCCTAGATCCTCTCACCAACAGGGGGAGAGATGGAGAGTCAAGGAGCCCATCCAGCAATGAGAAACAGGGGCCAGTGAGGAGCCATGATGGAATGTGGAACAATAAGAAAGGTAAGGACAGAAAAGGCCAAAGTAATGACATGGTGGAAAACTCTGTTGGGGGAGGGCGTTCATAAGGAGGGGCGGGGCACATGCTCATAAGTGGGAACATTAGCTCCATCAACTCGGTGAAACTAGGATAAAGAAAAACATTCAAATGAGGCAGGAATGAGTAATTGACGATCATAACTGTGATTATAAGGCATAATTACAATTAGCTGCACAGGAGTGTTAATCATGAAAATAATTACATGTCAGCTTTCCTCCTAAAGAAGGGAGAATGTAATTAAGTGGTCCAAAGGGGGCAAAGAAAACACATCTCTGAGTGATGCAGGTACGGGGTAGAGGGCCAGTATTTGAACAGATAGACCTTGCTCAGTACTTGAAATGAATCAGCCAACTTCTTTGGTGAAAAGGGATAAAGAAAGGGAGGGAGGGAAAGAGTCAGGAGGTGGTGGAGGGTTAGGGGGCGGAAAGAATTGGCTTGAGATTTGTATTCCAAATCCAAACTCAAAATACGAAAACCGGATTCATTTTTTTCCCCATTGCTAGTTACCAGCCCCATAACATTTGCGACGTAAGCCTTTCTCTAAGCCCCACCCACTTTCCTCAGTTACACAAGGATCGCCCATTGCTAAGCTCTTCTTAGAAAAAAACAAAAATCATCAAGCTGGTAAGTCACTTACATCATGCCTTTTTTGCAATATGGCAATAAAGGTCTGCCTTTATGATATCTGGGAGGGAGATAAGAGTTCCAAACTCCTGGTGTGCATTACTTTCAGCCCGGCTGCCCCTATGAACTCCGAAGAACTGCCCACTTCCCATCCCCTCTCAGGGCTGGATTGGGTCCTTTGCTAGCCTCCTGTCTTTCCATTGTAAAGGAAATCAGGATTCCTGCCCTTGGGTAATGGTTATAGTTGAACAAGCAATGCCTGTGTCTGGACAGATGGGACACAGTAGTTTCCAAGGCAGAGAGATAGAGCCCTGGGGAAGAAGACACTGCCATGCAGAGACTTACTTCTACTGCAGGCTAGAAGTTTCTTGTCTTTGCCAGAAGGTGCCTAGCTCACATTTTGGAGCGCTCATGACTGAAGCCCTCTGAGGATTTTCTTGCTTGCATTTCAGCTGAGCCTTGAAGCTAAGATTTTTTTTGCCAAATCCTTAAGTAAATGTGTTACGGGTTTAAGAAAGTCGATAAACTTCTTGCACCAAAGACCCCAAAGTTTCACCCCTTCTCCCAAGCAGTGCCCTGCCTCTCTCTATGTCCAGATAGCTAGACCCCACCATGTGAATTGCTTTGGTGAGCAAGATATTAATTAGCAAAATGCCACAGTCATGGCACAAGCAGAAGTTTAAAGAACATCTGTGTGAATACACTCACTTGTGATCTTGTTCCTCTGTTTGCTAGAGAATGCTCCCCAGCAAACCTTCTGGAGAAGGAAAGACACACACAGCCATCATCCCACTGTCTTGGTTTGCTCTCTATTGCTCTGATAAAACATCATGACCAAAAAAAGTTGGAGAGGAAAGGGTTTACCTGACTTACACTTTCACATCCAGTCTATCACTGAAGGAAGTCAGGGCAGAAACTCAAGGCAGGAACTGATGCAGAGGCCAAGGAAGAATGCTGCAAACTGGCTTACTCCTCCTGGCTTGCTCAGCTTGCTTTTACACAGAGGACCATCACCTCAGGAATGGCACTGCCAATAGTGGGTTGGGCCCTTGCTTATCTATCATCAGCCAAGAAAATGCTCTAAAAGCTTGCCCACAAGCCAATCTCAGCTGAGGTTCCCTCTTCTCAGATGACTCTAGTTTGTGTCAAACTGACAAAAACAAAAAACAAAACAAAACAAAAAAAAAAAACTAACCAGCATATTCACCAAAACCATCCTGGTTCAGAAAGTGGCCATTGATGCCATACACAAGAGCAAGCTCAGGCCAGTAGAACCCAAGTCAGTCCTGCCAAACACACATCAACAAATACACATTGTAGACCACAGAGGTTCTGTGTTGATATATTACACCAGATTATGGTGGCAACAAGTCGCTGAGAGGTTTTATAATAATCAGTTAGGTAAGTCGTAAACCTACCACCCAGGGAATACAAATGGAGGAAGAGGAGAGATTCTTTGGAGAGAGTTGTTGTATTGTATTAGTTGTAGAATAATACCAACCCTAAACAGAGAAAGAAGGAAGGATTTCAGTAGACCCACTCAGAGAACTACAGCATGAGGGAGATAGGCAAGAGATGTGCCAGCCAGCTTTCAACATGTAAGCTGAAGGACTAGGACATCAGCAATGCCCATATGCAAGCCCAGGATTTGTTAGAGCAAAAGATACATGAGAGTTTTCCTGGCTCAAGAGTTAAGGTGTGCAACTTTTGGCCACAATTGGCTGAGAATTATTTTTATTGCTCTTTAATTGTGATTATAAGTGCATATTAGCTATACAGATTAATAGATTCTCATAACTGCATATATCATGCTTTGATCCCAGCAACTATTACTCTCTCCTCATCCCCTTACCTTCCCCTAGTAGTCTCAAGGTAGATAATTATTTGTTGTGGTTAACTATGCTGTGCAGCATACCAGACTTTTAGCAGCATCTCTGACCTCAGCATAGTAGATACCAGTAGCACTTCATAGCTATGAAGACATTGCTAAATGTCCCCAGGGAGACAAACTCACCTTCATGGAGAACTACTGACCTAGACATCTGAGGGTGTTGTCAATTTCCAAGGGCTGTGGAAGAGGTGACCAGAAGATACCAATGGCTCTGATTGCAAGAGGGGTAACAGGAATGGGAAGTGAAGAACCTCCAAAGAATCAAGAGGAGCATCCTGAGAGAGAGAGAGAGAGAGAGAGAGAGAGAGAGAGAGAGAGAGAGAGAGAGAGAGAGAGAGACTATTTTTAGAACCTGTCATGCTGGGATTGTTTAAAGCCAGCTTCCATGTTAAGTACCCCCTTCTGCCTTCTCATCCCCTACCTGGGATCATCAGCAATAACAGCTACCCAGATCCACACCCTCCTTTCTCTACAGCAGGTCTCCCTGATGCACTGGGCTGGGGATGGGGGAGGCAGCAAAAGTCTTAAGTGTGAGTTAGAATCTAAAATCAGCATACTAGTTATTTCAAGGGAGTGGACGTTTTATTTATATTTTATATTTTGTATTATGCAAGAATGACTTGAAAATTCAAGGGAGTGCCTGAGTTCTTATAGAGTAGTCAGAGAACCAGTTGCAGTGAATAAGTTCAAAGAAGCAATAGGGGCTTAGCATGGTGGTGCATGGCTGTAATCCTATCACGAGGCTGAGGCAGCAGGGTCAGCACGTTCAAGATCAGCCTTGGCAATATACTGATAGTGTCTTTAAAAAACAAAAGCAAAAACAATCCAACTGTATTGGCTCAGGTTGATAATTTTAGTATGTGGGAGGCTGAGTGTCTTAGTCAGTATTCTATTGCTGTGAAGAGACATCATGACCACAGCAACTCTTATAAAGAAAAGCATGTAACTAGGGCTGGCTTACAGTTCAGAAGTTTAGTCCACTTTCATCATGGTGAGAAGCATGGCAGCATGCAAGCAGACGTGGTACTGGAGAGGTAGCTGAGAGTTCTACATCCAGATCCCCAGGAAGATAGAAAAGAATAACTCTGTGCTTAGATGGGCTTTTTGAAACCTCAAAACCCACCCCAGTGACACACTTCCTCCAACAAGGCCACACTTCAAATAGCGCCACTCCCCAGTGACCAAGTACTCAAACCTAAAAGCCTATGGGGGCCATTCTCATCCAAACCACCACACTAAGGTAAGAGGATTTCAGTGAATTTGAGGCCAACCTGGGCTATATAGAGAATGAAACCCATCTCTTTCTTGTTTGTTCACATTAATCTCAGTAGTTACAAAGACCATAGGTACAAGCATGAAATCACATATTGTCCTAACATCATTGCCTAGACTGTGATTCTGGCAGACCTTATCATTTCTCACACTTAGAATTCCCTTCTTCAGCCGGGCGGTGGTGGCGCACGCCTTTAATCCCAGCACTCGGGAGGCAGAGGCAGGCGGATCTCTGTGAGTTCGAGGCCAGCCTGGGCTACCAAGTGA